GTTTTCGCCAAGCCTAATCAGTTTAGCAAATCTGTGTCAAGTACTTTCTACATTTATTTGACTTTTTTTTTAGAATGTGAAAAAGCAGCTTCTATATGTTTCATTATTGGCTTGAGTTCAAGATCACAATCTCTTAAAGTGAGTTGTAATACATTTTTTTACATACATCCTAAAAAAAAAATCTTCTCAATGTTATAGGTTTGTTTAAATGATTTATATGATTTTGCTCCAAGAACCAAGTTTAGACTATTTTCTTTTTTTGCAATTCTTCATACTTGTAATTTTAGGAAAATATCATAGCTTATCAGAAACTCCTCTCCATGAGGAATTCTCCTATTTTGCAGTAAAATGATCAAAGCTCTCTTTTATTGTTATCTGACCCAATTCTAACATTCCTTACATTATTTACAAGGTATATTCATGGCCTGGTCTCATTCCGTGTACCAGATGGTTTACATCTTACTTCTCTTTAATTTATTAAGAATGAATTTTGTTCCCATAAATATTTCATTATGCCTCTCTCACCAAGCAAGATTTTTAGGCTATAATTTACATGGTGCACTCTGTTTCTTGTTCATTTCTATCCTTTGCTTACAATTTGTGAATTGGTATAACAACATCCTCTATCCACAGGTTCTCTCTCTCTGAGATATTGTTAAGATTTTTACTCGCTATCATTTATTCAGATTGTAATTATGAGAAGATTTTTACTTACTGGACACTTATTTGTATAGGGTACTCTGCTATCTATGGTGGAGGAACAGACTTTTTAAAATAGTCCTGCCCCAGCTGGCTTGGCTCAGTGGATAGAGTGTCGGTCTGCAGACTGAAGGGCCTCAGGTTTGATTCTGGTTCGGGGCACCTGCCCAGGTTGCAGGCTTGATCCCCAGTAGGAGGCATGCAGGAGGCAGCCAATCAATGATTCTCTCTCATCATTGATATTTCTATCTCTCTCCCCCTCTCCCTTCCTCTCTGAAATCAATAAAAATAAATATTAAATAAAATAGTCTCAAAGCGTCCACAGTGTCAGCCTTCTAATCATATTTTACTTTTTAGGCTTCTTGTATTTGTAAATGCTTATATATTCTGACTTCTTTTTTTTTTCTTTTATTACTATTTGTTTTCCTATCTGAAAGGGTATCTACTGCCACCTCTTTTTTTTTTTTTTTTTTTTTTTTAACTCAAGTAGGCCAATGAACTCCCTCCTTACAAGGTCCTCAAGCAGAATCTTTGTCAATCTGTCTTGTGTACTTTTTCATACTCAGTTCTCCCCCAATTTTTAGAATAAAAACTACCACCTAGGTTTAGGTTGGTAAGATACTGCAGTGTTAGTGATAGGTGGTTTAAGGGGTTTTCTTGCAAGAGTTACATCTCACTTTGCTGACTCAGGATATCTGCTTTTTTCATCCCCATATCAAAAGGCCAAACCACAACTTGATATAGGCTTATTTTCATTTACTTGCAAATGAAGGAGCCACCAACAGACTTTCTGGTGAAGGGAAGGAAAATACCTAAATCCATTATTTTAGACAACAATGCCTGTTTCTCAAAGAGAACGACACCACTACCCCAGCCTTTTAAAGAAAAGCCAGACGTAAATAAGAGGAAAGCAAATCCTGTAGCCTTAATAGGCACCCAAGATTGGAGGTGAAATGGGCCAGGAAAAAGAAAAGCAAAAAAACCCCAAAAAACTAAACAAACAAACAAACAAAAACAACATAAAAGTAAAGCGAGAGTAAAGACAAAGATACATATTGTTAGGAATCTAATACACTATTTTGAACCCTCCCAAAATCTAGTTAACATCAGATGTGGCATTGTTTCTATCCCTCCCAAACTGGATACCATCTCATAAATCTTTTAGTAATAATAATTAATAAACTAACTGTTCAAAATCCTTTACATGCCAATTATATGTGGAACATTTTGCTAGCTGCTAAACAATATAGGAGAAAAATAAAATTATATGTCTGCCTTTAAGAGTTTTACCATGTGCCTGTGGCGATAGGGACTGCGAGATAGTATTGGGTTTTTGGGGGGAGGTTTCAAAGAGACATTAGGTACTGAAAAATTCAAAGCATTGAGGATTTGAAAAATTGGGATTTATTCCATCCTTGCCATTTCCATGCTAACCACCACTTGGTATAGGCTATTTTACCTTGCTATGTTACCCTGAGCAACTCCTTTCTCTTTCCCCATTTATCCCTCCCACTTCCCCCTCTCCCCTACCTCCTCTCCCTCGCCCCCCCCCCCCCCCACACACACACAAAGAAAGAGGTCATTCTGTTATAGGTAGTTAGAAAGACATGAGCAGAGCAAGGACAATGGGCCAGGTATAGAAGGTCACCAGGATGGAAAGCCCTGGGTGCCTACTAAGGGGCTAAACTGAGAAAACAGGACATCACCCCCAGGGTAATCCACACACACACACACACACACACACACACACACACACACCACCACCATCACTACCCCCCCCCCCCCCCCAGCATATCGGTGGTCCTGGAGTTTAGACCCCCTGACCTTTTCCTCCCGAAAAATAACATCTAGGCCTCAGTTGTATTTCAGCTCCAGGCCTAGAAAAGCAGCCAAATCAGACAAGTGATGCCATCACTGCCTCAGGACCAGCTGCATTTACTAATGACCCACTGCCCTGGTGAGGTCCCATCAGTGGAGATTGCGACCTTGAAAGAACACACCTAGAAAGCTGAGGAATATTCACTGATGCCCTCCCCTGAGACCTTCCCTAAGATTCCCACCTGCAAGAGAAAGAGAAATACCTCTACACAAAGGACCCAGTGCCCGCTTTCTGCCAGGGGAGCACACCCACCCCATTCTCTTCTCTCCGCCCATTCTTCCCTCTAAGACTTTGAGAACCGCTAGCAGGGTCGCCTAAGACCATGGGAAAACACAGATATTTACATTATGATTCATAACAGTAACAAAATTACAGTTATGAAGTTGCAAAAAAAATAATTTTATGGTTGGGGGTCACCACAACATGAAGAACTGTATTAAATGGTCGCAGCATTAGGAAGGTTGAGAACCACTGTCTAAGGGACCCCATGAGACTTACAACCTGGGGAGCAATGGGCAGCGACAACGGGTCCTAGGCAAATCCCCTGAACCTAGACTCCCCCGTTGCTTCTTCTATGCCCTTCCTTGTTTCACTGTCCTAAGTGTGTTTTTACTGCGGCTAATAAATTCTTGCTGGCTTTGCTGCACTTTGTCTCTTGATTGAAATCATTCCTTCAAGAAGATAAGAACGGAGGTCTCATCTCGCTAGTAACAACTCCAGGTTTCTAAAATGTAAGAATATTGAGTATGATTGATGTTTTGCCCAGATTGAAGTGTACAGCTAGAGCCCCTCTGAGCTGCCCTTTATTTTCACAGGCAAAGATACTGTGCAAAAATTCCCTAATTCAGTAGGCTTAGAACAAAAGTCTTTCTATACTGAAGCTGTTTTTTTTTTTAATCCTGCAGCGAACAATGCATATTTTAAAGTGATCATTGTGACTCATAGAAAAATCTTAAAATATATTCTTGACACCATTTACTGTGAAGTCCTTTTTTTCCCCCCTTTTTTTTAAATCTTTGTACATGTGAAAATGGGGAAACGTATTATATTGAACAAGGTCAACAATTAAACCCTTAGTTTCTGTAAGGCTCTATAGCATATACCAAAGCGCCGCTGAAATCCATTTCCCTCTGGCAGACCCGTTACACAGCTACCCAAGTAGCAGGGCAGCGAGGGAAGCCCATAGATGAACCCGGAGAGCGGGATGAGGCTCAACGAGGTAATACACTGCAAAAACAAAGCAAAACAAAACAAAACAAAAAACCAACACACACACACACACACACACACACACACACACACACACACGCACGCAAAAAAGCAACCTTTGTCAGATTCACAACATTGTCCAGAGCCAGACCTAGGGAACACCTTCAGAAAGCCTGGGGCTCCGGGAGCCCAAGTTCGCACGCTTCCAGGCTTTCTATTGATTCCCACTCGCGTCCTTCAACAGGTAGCGCCAATTACAACCCCTGGAGCACGGCCGCCCCGCACACTGGCCGAGGCCGCTGTCCATCAAATGCCTCACCTACCTTTCCGAATTCTCTCCGCGCTGTTTCATTGGCTTTTCCTTCGTCCAACCCTCACATTGCTCCTATGCTTCGGCCCCGGGGCCCCTTTCGAGCCTAGGATTGGAGCGGAAGCTACTCCCGCCCTTTGATGTCCGGTGCTGCCCGCCCCTTTTCCGTGGGCCCGCGTGGCCCGGCAGGAGAGGGCGGGGCGAGATAGGGGGCGGGGTCAGTGAGGGGCGGGGCGAGCGAGGGGCGGGGCCTCCTCCCCGGCAGGAGGGCGGAGCCTGCCGCGGAGCTCGCTCGCTCGCTCCGTCAGGACCTCGGAGAGCGCCGGGCGCCGCGACCGAAGGGACCGGAGAGACAGACGCGGCCGCAGGCTCCCTCGGCGCCCTGAGCCTCCGGGCTGGCAGGCGGCTAAGTGGCGGCTGAGGCAGGTGCTTTGAGGCGGGAGTCCGAGGGTCATCCCTGTGGGACGCGGACGCCGCCGTCCAGCGTGGCTCCCTCACACCTGTGTGTGTGTGCGCCCGTGAGCCCGGTGCCCGCGCGAGGCTGTCTGCGCGGCGATGGGGTCCGTGTCGGCGCGTCCGCGGGCGGCGGGAGCCCGGAGCTCCTGCGCTCGGCCCCGGGGAGGGAGAGACGGCGGGCGTCGCGGCTCTGCGCGCCCAGCTGGCCGAGGCGGGACTCGGGCCGCAGCCGTCGCCGCCGCCGCCGCCGCTGCTGCTGCTTCACGTCCCGCCAGAGCCGCCGCTGAGCTGCGGGCAGAGCGGACCGGCGGGCCAGCGCGGTGGCGGCTGCGGGAGGAGCGGGGCGCGAGGGGGGTGGACCGGGGAGAGGAGGGAGGGGGGCCCGAACGCGGGGAGGGAAGAGAGGGGGGAGCGGAGGGAGAATCGGGGGCAGCTGGCGCCGTCGCTCGCCCTTCCCGTTCGCTGTGGCTGTAGGTCCCCCCGCAGATGGTTTGGGGTCCCGGGTGTTTGGGGTGGGGAATGGAAAAAGCACCCCCATCCCAATTCCTATTATAAAAAAGGTGGGGAGCATTGAAGACGATCCAGAAGGTGGTGTACCGGCTCCTTCTACCTCCTCCCCACCACAACATCATTTTTTCTGAACATGAAATATTCTGAGCTGAGCCCGTAGTTGGAAAGCCCGCCCTTAAGAGAGAGAGAGACAGAGACTTGGTCGGTTGGACTCCGGTTTGATTGTATAATAATGATGATATAATGCTAATGACGATGATGACACCGCCTTTTATTTTTACCCCGGTGCTGATAAAGCATAGCCACAGCTGGGGATAAAGCCCTTGAAATTTTGATGGGTGAGGAGGGATATGCTGTTGCTTTTGGAGTTGTGGTTTTTATTTGGAAAGACAGGCTTTTTTTTTTTTTTTTTTTTTTTTTTTTTTTTTAGAATTAAAATTAGGCAATAGGTAGCCTGACTTTTTAAAGTCCCATATAGCCAATGGTAGTAAAATGGATACCAGGCTGCTGCCTTGACTAATGAAAAGCTAAACGCTTTTACTTGGGTATAATTCCATGAGTTAAGTCTCCCTTTTCCTTTGAATTTCTCAACAGATCTTTTTAAAAAAATGAAGAAGTTTAATTTCCGGAAAGTTTTGGATGGCTTAACTGCCTCCTCCCCTGGCAGTGGGAGCAGCAGCGGCAGTAACAGTGGCGGTGGGGCTGGAAGCGGTGCCCTGCACTCTGGAGGGCCTCTCCGAGAAGAGATCCAGGAATCCCTGACCTCAGAGTATTTCCAGATTTGCAAGGTAAGTTTTGAATTGGCTTAAAGCCTGTTATTTCTTTATTTTACTGTGTGAGGAAGGGAGTGTTACACACACACACACACACACACACACACACACACACACACCTGGAAATTGTCGAGATGCCAGCATCAGCGTCTGGTACAGAGAACTCTGTGAATAGGTCAGTTTGATTTAATAAAGGCATTCCAGGAATCAACTTTTTTTTTTTTTTTAAAGATAGTTTAAGAAGGAAATAAGGAAACATAAAAAGTAGAATTTGCAAGATAATGTTGAGGCCACTAGTGGAGAACATTTTTAATGTAATATTTATGTGGAAGTTGTAAATTGAAGGAGAAAATGGTTATTCTGGAGAGCCCTGTGATGTTATTCAGATAAATTAATTGTTATTTTATTTCACTGTTCAGTAAAATGATTAATGCTATTAAGACGTTGTTAGAGCTAAGTAGATAATAGCTAGATGAATATATCTATTAAAAAAACATAATGGCATTGTTTTAAATTCATTGTTTAAATTCTGAATAAAAACACCCAGAGTCTTAAACTAAACAATTAATCAAATGCCATGTCGGAACTTTTAATACTTAGAACTCAAAAGTAGCCTATGTTCTGGTTTAGTGGGGAAATATTTTTGGTAAACATACTTTAATGTTGAACTTCTAATGAACAATCACAAGAGAATTTCGGATGGGGAGAGATGAGAACTTACAAAACAAGCATTGTTAATATAGAGAGGTATTGTTATATTTTCTGAAACAAAATGACATAATTTTTATTTTCCTTTTTTTGGGGTGTCCTAGAACCTGGCATGTGTAATTTTTAAAAGCTATTACATTACTCACATGATTTAGATGAATATAGTTTTATAAATGTGTTTGAACACATAAGAAACACTAAATTTTTTAAATCCTCACCCAAAGATACACTTTTTTAAAAATTGATTTTAGAGAGAGGTAAAGAGAGAGTGGGGGGGGGAGAGAGAGAGAGAGAGAGAGAGAGAGAGAGAGAGAGAGAGAGAGAAACAGTGATGTGTGATAAAAACATCCATTAGTTGCCTTCTGTACAGGCACTGACTGGAAATCAAACCCGCTACCGTTTAGTGTGCAGGGACAATGCTTCAACCCATGGAACCACCTGGCCAGGGCAGAAACAGCAAATTTTTGAAGACACAGAAATTAAGTATTAAATTTTTTTGTACTTCCACAAAATCTTTTAAAATTATTAAAATTAGTTTTGTAGTAAACAAATGATGTATAATGAGATAAATTTCTATTATTGTATTAGTTTCTATTCCCAATAGCATTATTATAAAACATTAATTCTATAGTTATTAAAATGTTGTAAATTAGTTTATATAAAAGGAGTGTTTTTATAATTAGATTAAATAAACTGATTTAATTATAGCTTACCCTGTGTACAAAATTTTGTATACTTTGTATACAACTACTTTGTATATAAAATTTTATATAATTTTGTTCTAAATTTGAAATAATACATATTTGTTTAGTTTAAGGAGGGGCTAAATAGTGGTCATGAGGTAAATATAGAAAAGATTCCTAGAGGCCAAATTTGGATTGCTAGCAAAAGGAATTATGCCCTGCTTCTCTAATTTTTGATGTACTACTATTTCCATTTCAAGATTATGAAAAAAATTCCAAATTCTCTCAGTTCGTGAATGTGGTAGTGATGGAGGAAGATTTTAGTAGATGAAAAATTGGCATAGAAAAGGTAGATTTATAAAACCAAATGGAATTGGGTTGTTGAAGTTGTAAAGCTTGTAGAGAAGGTTTTAAATAAAAATATCCAGAGGAAATGAGTGAATGCAAAAGAGGAAAATAGGATTATAGACATCTTCCTATTCAGACAAGAGATAGTCATGGTGTGGTGAGCACATGAAGAGCACTGGCCTTGGAATCAGAACTTTTGTGTTTTATATAAAGTTCTGCCACTTGCCAGCTGAATAATCTTTTTAAAAAATATATAATTTTTATTGATTTAAGAGAAGAAGGGAGAAGGAGAGAGAGATAGAAATATCAATGATGAGAGAGAATCATTGATTGATTGCCTCCTGCACAACCCCTACTGGGGACTGAGCCCACAACCCAGGCATGTGCCCTTGGCTGGAATGGAACTTTATATTCCCCAAGTTGACGCTCTATCCACTGAGCCAAACCAGCTAGGGCCCAGCTGTGTAATCTTGCGGAAGACGTTTATCTGCCTTGATTTTCTCACATGTTGTATGGTAATAAGTACTTCTGCTCTTCTCTCCTAAGGTTATAAGGAAGATAAAAGAGACAATTAGGTGAAGGCAATGTGTAAATTGGAAAAGATGATGCACTGTATATTTATAATATTGTTAATCTTTTTAGTCACCTTCTTAGTGGAATGACTATCATCAGTGGGATATAATAATTTTAGATAACAATTTTGAAAGAAATTATACAGGGTCGATAGCTATGTAAGCTAACACTAATAGTATTGAAATCTTACTGACTGGTGAAAGTACTATGACATCTTTGGATAGGAATATAGTTAATTATAAAATCTTGTTATATGATTGTGCTTTAGGTTACCTGGACTATAATATATATATATATAAATGGATTATGGAAATTCCAAAATTAGAACCATTACTAAAATGGGGACTTCAGTTGGACTCACTGATTAAATGTGCAAAGAACATTCTATTCTGCATACTAAACAGTTGGCACTTTCTGGGTACTTCGACCTTTTCAACGTGGTCAAAATTAAAGTATATATCTAGAATCTGCTGTTTTGCAAACCATTCTCTCTATTAGTATCTGATTAGTTGTTAAATTCTATCTATTCTGTTTCACCATCTCTAGTACTTATCATCCCATTGAAATCACTTTCTAACTGATCTTCTCACCTCTTGTTTTACCCTACTCTAATTCGTTTTGTTATTGTAGAGGTTATTTCTAAATTATAATGTTAATTATGTCATTCCCTAATAAAAATTGTGTTGGTTTTTCTAGAGCAGTGACAAGTCTTATGTGAAACCCCAGTAAATAACATTTATTAAATAAATACAGTAATTAATTGGCACACATTTGAAAGTAAATAATAATACATTATATAATCTATATTATATTATATTATATTATATTATTATTATTGGTTCTTCTGTAATATTATCCATACACAGGTAGAAGGACATTTACAAGGCTTAAAAAAGTAAAAGTATAAAGCTACTGCTACTGTCACATCTATAAGGTGTTAAAAAACAAAAACAAAAATTGGTAGAAAAAAATTTTTGTTCAAGATCAGAAAAACAAACAGGTTAATGCATTGGTTTACTAAAATCGATATGTATGCCTTTAAATGCCCATGTTGTTCAGATATTTGTGAAATGCATGAACTGCTTTTTATGAATTTGAATTCTATGAAACACAATTTGAAACTATTGCTTTATACAATAACCTTCAAATTACTTTATATAGTTCCCAGAGGAAGGGGCTCCTGTTTACTTTTCTATCCTCATTTCTTTGATTCCCTAAGCATATTGTATTCCCTGAAAGCACCATATTTTTTCATATCTCAATGCTCTTTCTCAATATTTTGCTTCTGACTGGAATATCTCTTCCAGCTTGAGTGTAATTGAAGTAAAGTTACCCTTTACTTCAGTTCAAACACCACTTCCATGAAACCAGTTCAGACAACTACTTTCCTGGATAGTGTTAGTTTTTCTGTCTTCTGTTTTCCTTCTGTATATATCTGTAGAGTGAATTTAGTACCTTGTTATGATTCAAAATTTTATTTGTTACTGTCATTATTCTAAAAACTCTTTGAGAGACAAATAATATTTTGTTTTCTTGTCATCATTAGGGTGCTCATTACTTAACAGGCCAGTGGTTCTTAACTGTCTAAAAGAAAGATTTCTAGCTCCACCCCTTAGAGCAGTGGTTCTCAACCTTTCTAATGCCGCGACCCTTTAATACAGTTCCTCATGTTGTGGTGACCCCCAACCATAAAATTATTTTTGTTGCTACTTCGTAACTGTAATTTTGCTATTGTTATGAATCGTAATGTAAATATCTGTTTTGCAATGGTCTGTTGTGACCCACAGGTTGAGAACTGCTAGCAGGGTCGCCTAAGACCATTGGAAAACACAGATATTTACATTACGATTCATAACAGTAGCAAAATTACAGTTATGAAGTAGCAACAAAAATAATTTTATGGTTGGCGGTCACCACAACATAAGGAACTGTATTAAAGGGTCACGGCATTAGAAAGGTTGAGAAACACTGCCTTAGAGGATCAAATATCTCTATCTCTATCTTTATCTCTGTCTCTGTCTCTATCTCTATTCATTCCTATAGTTAATTGACCCACACCTAATTAGGCTGGGAGTAGGAGAGTATGAGTATTGTAGCTGTGACTAGTTTCAAACATTCAACATATCAATCTGTGTTTTACAAAGAGAATGGAATAAAATACAGAGCTTAAACTGTAAGATATCCCATTTGACCTTCATAACAGTCTGATAAGGAAGGCAAGAAAAGTGTTAATGTTCTTATTTTATTGATAAGACATCTGAGGCCAGAGAATTTAAGTGGTATCCTTAGTTCTCTAAGTTGGTTAAGAGACATAACTAAGTTTAGCATACTATTCTTTGAATCTCAAATCCAGTACTTTTTTTGCTTCATCTTTCTTATTTAAAAAAAGGCAGTGTGGTGCCTGGTGGGTGTGGGTCAGTGATTGAGTATTGACCTATGAGCCAGAAGGTCAAAGTTTGATTCCTGGGCAGGGCACATGCCCGGATTGTAGGCTTGGTCCCCAGTAGGGAGTGTGCAGAAGGCAGTTGATAGAAATTCTTATCATTAATATTTCTCTCTCTCCCTCTCTCTCTCTCTCTCTCTCTCTCTCTCTCTCTCTCTCTCTCTCTCTCTCTCTCTCTCTCTCCCCCTTTCCCTTTCTCTTTATAAAATCAATAAAAATATATTTAAAAAAATAAAAATAAATAAAAGGCAACATGGTAA